CCACTTGTTACTTTTCTGTTGATTCATTTACGTTCACGCCCTAACACACGCATGTGGATCATTTTCATTTGGATTATAACGGAAGGGTCGGACGCATAAATACAGAAATAAATAGCACTGTATATTATTATTCTTTAACTACTGGACCCTAGATGGCTCACATATGTAGAAAACAAATATTATTGTACCCAGGCGGTCGCCAACTGTCGAACAGGGACGTACTATTCTGTAATGAATTTAACTATAGTCGAATAATAATAAGTAGTAAATTTTCTATCCAATGAATGATTACAAAATAGAAATCCTCCATGTTGTCTTAAAATGTACCAATTATTAGACATCGGTTTTACATGTAGTGCCTTTAGCTGTTCTCTAAAGAATGTCTGAAACGAACAAAACATTTACTTTATTACCCTTTGTAGTATAAAATTTGCACAAACCAAAGTACGTATGTAATGAGACTTTAGTCTCGAAATTGGTTGTAAAAAATTTCAACATGTCTTTAGATTTTTTTCATTTCATTCTTTGATCTTTTATTTGTCTAACAAAATAGAGCCTTTATTAATTTTTTTGTAAGCACGATTGACAGCACCATTTAGTTACTCGGGTCAATAAACGTAAATGATAAATAAAATTATTGTTTAATAACAGATTTCTATCTACCGTATTTGCATTAGCCTGAACGATAACAAAATAGGGCTCCTGCATCTTATACTAAATGGTACCAATTACCAAATCCCGCTCTTATATATAATGCCTTTAGCAACTGTCTGAGGCATGTCTGAAACGAACAAAACACTTCACTTTTATTTACTTTTTGTGGTATTAGATTTATATGAAACAAAGTAAGTACGTAATGAGGTTTTAGTCTCGAGAGTGGTTGTAAAAAAATTCGGCGCGTTCAGATTTCTTCATTACAAACTTTGATCTTTTATTTATCAAACACACAGGGCGTTTATTAAAATTTTTTGTTCGGCACCTACGACTGACGTCTGAGTAATTGTCTGCAGTTTCGGAGCAGGGTACAATTTTGTTCGGAATTTTTAACACAAAAATTATGACAAGAGAAGTTTGGATATGAACAAAATTTGAATGAAATGCACTGGGTGTCTAATATTTCGTTGTATATAATATTCAAGTTTAGTGACAAATCTTGTAAGGGTTAGCGCCCTTACTCGGGTAATAGAACACTTCAGCTGACGTAATACATTTTTTTGAAGTAGGCAAATTTAGGTTATCATTCTTGTGATAATCTTAACTACATCTAGAACTAACAAGCAATTCGTTCAGTAGTTTAAGATCATCTTACTAATAAATCGGCAAACAAATCACACTCGGTATTTCGTGGAAAATTAAAAAATGACCCTATAACGCAGTGGTTCGCGAACTGGGTGCCGCGGCACACTGGGGCGCCGCGGAACTCCCAAGAGGGTGCCGTGAAAATTTTATGATGATTTTAATAAATATAAGCACAAAACCAACTTTAAAAAATAGTAATTGATGATCTGATTTTATTAATATCGTACAACTGTTCAGTAATGGAAAATGTGTTCTGAACATGTTAACTTTCTTCATACTGAAGTAAGATGGCTATCTAAAGGCCGTGTTCTTCTTTAAGAAAACAGATATAAACGTTTTTTGAATCAGAAAATATTGAACAATTTTTTGACCTCCTTCAAGACCACGTTTGGTGTTCAAAACTAGCATATTAAACTTAAATACACTAAAATAAAATATGTAAATTCAAGTATGCAAGGTAGAAATGAAAATATTTTAACCTCCGGTGAAAAAATGTTGGCTATAAAAGACAAGCTTAAATTATGGAGAACAAATATTTATAAATCAATCTTAACATCAATTACATATTATACAATCATGTGATAAAGTGTTTTTGATAATAAATTAGTCACAATTAAAACTGTTCTTGGCGGGGTGCCGCCAAATCTTGTTTAATATTTTAGGGTGCCATCAATAAAAAAAGTTTGCGAACCACTGCTATAACGGATGACTTTTCCTTCCATGTTTAACTTCCGCAGCATTAGCCAGTTTCACGTTTTCTCGATGTGGTTGCTTATTGAAAAATACTAAAATTGAAAAACCCAAAATTTAAACATTGAAAATTTGAGAAATCGAAAAATTTAGAAATCAAGAAATCGGAAAGACGAAAAATCCAAAAATTTAGAAACGCCAAAAAATAAAACAATGAAAAATCGAAAAATTTAAATATATACATAAATCCAAAAAATAAAACGTTGAAAAATTGAAAAAATTATTCCGGAAAATTGAAAAACTAGAAAATCTAAAAACGAGAGGCGATAATTCGAAACATCGAAAAGCTGAAAGATTAATTCCGAAAAATTGAAAAATTGAAAAATCTAAAAACGAGAAGCCAAAAATCGAAAACTTGAGAAATCGAAACAACTAAAACGTGAAAAACCTAAAATTTAAAAATTCGAAAAATTGAAAATCGGAAAATGCAAGATTTGAAAAATCGCAAGACCTTGAAAAATCAAATAACTAAAAAAATCTTTCAATATTTTGTACATATCATTTACATTTTATAAAATAATACATATCCACACTTGTAGTTTATGAATGCGGTTTGATTTTAAATCACAATTACTTTACAAAAATGTTTAAGACAAGTGGAGCGTTCATTTTCTGCGCGTGAGTTCGAATCCCATCCTCGTCGACATGTTGAAATAATTTCCGATCAATTTTTTTGTACAGTACTCAATACCTATATCATTAAACTCTGCTTTTATCTGTTCGATATTTCCACTTGTCAAGTTGGGTAAACAAAACATAAAAAAACCCAAATTAATTTGAAATACATTACAAAAATTTTCAGGTTCATAATCAAAAAGTCAAAAAAAGTTGATCGTTTTAACTCCGCGTCATGTGACCCGAACACGTACAATTGGAAAAATATAGCAAACTTGAAACTTCGGACTTCTAGCTAAAACGAAGAAATTCAACTTTCCTACATGCAGACTGAAAATGTCGAGGCCGATCTCTTATCGAGACGACATAAATATGAGCACAGGGATGTTAACTGTCAAATTTTCTTGACTACTAGGCAAGAATGAAAATGCCGGAAGTAAATGTACAATCCGCTTTAGAGAATTTCAAACGGATGCAGGTTGAAAAGTGAGCAGACGTGACCGGTATGGATAAAGTTAAATTAATTTCTCACATCCGACTATAATATGTTCATTATTCACTCGCATGTTTTTTATTTTCCTTTTAACCTTTCGTTAGTAAGAGCAATTGCCATTTGTTAGAACAGTGCGACATTTCTCTGAAAGTAATAAAACATGAATTTCAACTCCAACTTCGGCTTGTCAGCCAAGTAACGAAGAAAAAAGGGAGCACGAGAAGTGCAATTTCCAGCAAGTACATTATTGAACGACCGAAATAAACTCTTGATACCCTCAACAGCTTACGTAAATCGAGGTGCAAGATAGGGGTGAAATATATCACCCACTTTATTTAGAACGGCTGATATCTTGCTTTTCTTACAAACGATAAACAAATATTACGGCGTAAACGAAAACCGTCACTTTCGCAACTCATAAAACGCAATATCGGAGTTGTATATATCAGACTCGGCTAACGCGAGTCAATAGTTAGTGAGCCGACGATACATCACTATTGAAGAATTATTAACAGCTCGTGCATGTACAGCATTATTAATTAGACACGCAACAAAGCAACTAAAACATTTTAATGCCGCCAGCCTTGTAAAGTTTACCTTTAAAATCCTCCTACAACATTTAAACCCTGGATTAAAGTAAAGCACGTTCCCAGGAGCCATTTTAACCGGACTTTATCTAGCCGCGAATTTACTTTTACAATATTTAAACGGCAGTTTTGCGGTGCATCCAACGTCTCTAGCTGCCAATAACTTACAAGTTCGAGGTGGCGTTTTAAATTAACCTTTTTACGCAAGACGGATGAGTTTTACGTCCTTCTTGTTTTATCGCTTCGGGATTTTATTTCGCGTCAATATAAATTCCGTTTACGGTAAGTGCCGAAGTCGTAATACAAATTTATCGGTATCTGCTTATTTTTTATTTTAACAATTTTTGAGTTTCGTTGTGTGGGACTTTTTGTAAGTTCGTTTGTTTTTATGGATCGTAAAATTCGAAGGGGGCGGAGAGATTTTCCGCCACTGTACTGTTTGAAAAATTTATCGCCGACGCTAGGACAGGTCGGCTAATGAAAAAACTGGATGATCATAATAAAGGAGGATCATAAAAAGTCCCAATCCCGTCTTTACTTTCGGATTAGTATGAATGAATGGAGAACTAAATGACGAAACTTGGATTGTATTGTCCTCGTATTATGAGGAATATTCTCGGTCAAGGTTCAGTCCACTTACAACCTGTTGTAAAACTGTAGGAAATAATAACGAGACAAGAGGATTATGAACCTAAATCTTTGCCCCGGAGAAACACCCACGCTTTGAGGGGGAACTTATCCCTTTGTACCGAGTAATATTAGGTCGTGTAGCCACCATTAAAGTGGCAGATCTTATTCTCCGCACACCGTATTTGTCGCATAATAAAATTTTATACCCTATTTAGGCCAATAATGCTTGAACAACCTCCCGATAAACACCTATTTCAAAATAGAACGATTACGCCCGTGCTCAGCGTTTGAAGACCGCCAAGCTTTAAAACTTCTCGTTAAAACTGGCTCATTTCCGGTTGCTTTACCTTTTTCCTGCTTCACTTTAATGAAACGCCAAGCACTTGAGCCAATTGTATCTTTAATTTAACTTCTGTCAGATCGAGATATCAACAGGCGCCACGCAGGGGGTGATTTGCCCTATCCGGCTGTCAGGTCTGCCCCCTTTACTTTATCATTTTTCTAAAGGCTTGAGTCGACTTTGGAGATGGCACATAATAAATCACTCGAGAGTCGCGATGCTTTGATAAAAAGCGGTTTGATCTTGATGAGTTGAACGCCTCTAACGCATAAATAAAACTACTCACCGTAACGGGGGCGGTGTGGGACGTTTCGGATGGTTGAGAGAAGACCTTCCGAGGAAGCCCAGGTGACGAGCCCAAACTTTCGGTGCCCCGCCGCCTCCACGGGAACTGGCCACTGGAAATAGAAAAGTCTGGTTTAGCGGTGCTGTATAGTTGGCTGCCTATAGGTGAAATGAATCCGCGCTATATTGTACTAAATATATAACGAGTAAACCTGATACAATTTTTTTGTATTATTATTATAACTTTTTTATCACGAACAGTGTTGTCAATGAGATTATTAAAATTGTGCACCGAACTTCATAAAATTTGTTTTAGGCAACATATTGTATCTATTTTTACATTTTTAAATCCCAAGGGCGAAATCGACATTTTAAAACAACGACATCACTCGAAAAGCACAAAATGGGGAACTCTTAACACATTACAAACGAATTGGAATACGAATGAATATTGTTCTTGCCTTCAACGAAAGAGTCATAAAAACACAGTGAAATGGAAGCGCTTGAATAGATAGCATCTCGTTATTACACATTAGTGCGCTTTAAAAATGTAACATTGTAAGCTTTAGATTTCACGACTACTATTACTGAGACTCGACTAAAAGAATTACATTTTACGAAAGTTTAAGAACAAGAATGCAGGGTCGGAGCGCTTTTTTACTTCCCGAGCGTAAGCAAAGGAAGTATTGTAATCGAGTCCGTCGGCCGACTCTCTACTTTTACGTTTTCTCGATCTTTCATGACCCCTAGAAGACGAAGAAATAGGTCTCCCATTTCCGTCTGTCTGTCCGTCTGTCCGTCTGTCCGTCTGTCCGTCTGTCCGTCCGTCTGTCCGTCTGTCCGTCTGTCCGTCTGTTGTCACGGATTTTTATTAGACAGATAATCTCCGAAAGTACTCGACCGATTGTTGTGAAATTTTGTACTTATATTAAGAATGTCATGTAGATGGTAAAACGCTAACCAAAATTTGTCGAATCATCCCCACCACTAAAGCGATGACGTCACTTCAAAATTGTACATAGTAAATGGGTTTTCAATTGTATAAAATAACATAGTCCTACACATGTAGTTTACAACTCTGAATCGACTTTTCACCCGAAACGTCCAGATTTTTGGAAAAAAAATCAAAATTATAGAACAACATTTTGAAATTTAATTTTTAATCTGCTAACCAGAATGCTTTGAAATGTTGCAGATGTTTTAAGGCTATAAAGAGCATCATAAATCTTTAGTCAAAAAATATTTGCTTATCCCCTCCAAAAACTTGATGACGTCAGCTCAAAAGTTTGTGGAATAAATCATATCTAAAATGTACAAAATATGATGAGTCTGTACTTGTGAACTATCACTCCATTAATATTTTTTGGATTTGCATATACAGGGTGACTCAAAAAAATTAATGAATGCGTAAATATATTTTATTGATTTAATCAATAACTACAAAACCGAATGCTCTGAAATCTTGCAGATGTTTTAAGGTCATAAAGAGCATAATAAATGTTTAGTCAAAATATATTTGCTTATCCCCTCCAAAAACTTGATGACGTCAGCTCGAAAGTTTGCCGAATAAATCATATCTAAAATGTACAAAATATGATGAGCCTGTACTTGTCATTTATCACTCCATTCATATTTTTTGGATTTGCATATACAGAGTGACTCAAAAAAATTAATGAATGCGTAAATTTATTTTATTGATTTAATCAGGAACTACAAAACCGAATGCTTTGAAATCTTGCAGATGTTTTAAGGTTATAAAGAGCATAATAAATTTTTAGTCAAAATATATTTGGTTATCTTTACAAAAAACTGATGACGTCAGCTCAAAAGTTTTCCGAATAAATCGTATCTAAAATGTACAAAATATGATGAGTCTGTACTTGTGATTTATCATTCCATTCATATTTTTGGATTTGCATATGCAGGGTGACTCAAAAAAATTAATGAAGGCGTGAATTTATTTTATCGATTTAATCAGGAATTACAAAACCGAATGCTTTGATATCTTGGGAATATTTTAAAGTTATTATAAGCATGGTAAACTTTTGTTCAAAATGTATTTGTTCATCCCTCCTAAAAAAATTGATGACGTCACCCTTAAATTTTGCTGAATAAATCCTATCTAAAATGCAAACAATATGATGAGTTTGTACTTGTGATTTATCATTCCATTCATATTTTTTAGATTTTCTTAAGAGGTGGTTCAAAAAAATTAATGAAGTCAATTTATTTTATTGATTAAATTAAAGGCAACACTTATTATTAGTATTACACCCCAACCAACCCAATTTGGTAGACACAAAATTTGTTAAAGGAAAAACTCGGTTGAAACATAAGGGTAGCACGCTTATTTACATCGACTTTAACATTACAGACCTGCATTTGTTTTATGCGTTCACTTGATTCCGCGAATGTGAAATAGACATGTTTATAATCAACCAATTGTGAATTTCACCGTCAAGAATTAAAATAAAACCCAATGTTTTATATAATAAGCGGAAGTCGAAGCAATAAAACCGACGGTCGTTTTGTTTACAGTTTCTGTGTTTGGCTCTCACGTATGCTGTTACGCCTGTCATCTTAAATTAACAATGTTTATACATACACGATTTTCAGTTGCCTCTGATACGTAGGTATACGTGAGTAAATTGTTTCGTTATTTTATTGATTATTACAAATCAATATTCAAACGACCCAATTCATTTTCCCGAAAATTTGAGAATATAATAATTTTATTCTTAGTATTACACTACATCTATCCCAACTGATATACGTGTCCTTGCAAAAATGTTGATGACGTCATCGCAATTTTTTTTTAAATTCCCACTACAAAAATGTAATGAGAAAAAAAACACAATAGGCATGCAGTCGTCAAGTTTCCGACAGCGAGGGAAGTACTGTCTAAACTCTTTAGACCAATTTTTCCTAAATGATATTAATTATAATTATACCGTTGACATATCTGTGAACACATGAGACTACTTTGTTTCACAACGTACTTTGTAAAAGGTATTAAATTTTGAAACTGCAATAACTTTGCTAGAATAACAGTATCTACAAATTAATAATAAACACGCAGTCGATAAAAGTGGAGGCAAACTTGAGCATTTAGTGATTGTTGAATATTCATGCATTATTTATTATGTAGAATTTCTCGTATTCTTCGTTACTGAGCAAAAAAGGGACGGATCCACTATTAGTGAATAGTTTATAAGTTTAATGGTTGCATGTTAACCGGTTGGTTGGCCCGGATAATATTTCCGTAATCGCACATAAACGAAGAAGTAGGTGTCTGGCCCCGTCTGAACGGCGACATGGGTCTATCTGGTACACGATTGTGAGATGGCGAGATAATGAGAATACTTTTACATAGAAACACACCTCTGCGTCAGACAGGAAATGCTTACCCTAAAGTAAAGCTGTTGGCGATAAACTCTTGTGCCGTATATATGTAGTTACAATAATTTCGGAGATTATTTGTCTCGTTTTATTACCAACACACGACAGGCGACATATAGAAATGGGTCCTACTTTTTCATACTCTAGCTTTTTTAATTAGTGCTAGTTGTTATTTTTTGAGAAAAAAATGTACAAGACTGATTGTATCTAATAAAATATAATTTCAACCTTTGTCTCAAGTAATGAAAGCGCTTTTCTCGCAAAATAAAAATTCAAAAGCACTTCAAGTTCTTGCATAATAATCTAGCTTACGCTGCATCCCCAAAACGACGAAAAAAAGCGCCAAAAAACCGCAGTATCTTACCGACACTCTCCACTACCCCGAAACCCCGCTCTCCATTAACGACATTAGCACGAATCCAACAGGCGCCGACAAATTTCTCCCCTATTCCAAGTTAATTACACGGAATCCAGGTAAAAGCCCCCAGACAGACAAACATGCCAATTTACCATTCCATAGCCCCCGCCGTCAAACCCAGATGATAAAACAAAATAAGCTAATAAAAAATAGACACAATCTAAGCCGACTGCTTGACGGCGTATGAAAGGCCCTCTCTCCCGTCGACCCTAACAGACTGTGACCACCTGCCGCGATCGATTTTTATTCACCCACTAACTATTCGCTGAGGTTTCGTCTCGGAGGCTACCACCTGTACGAGAAGATGAAAAGGAATTTTCAAGCAGTTTTTTTCTTTCAAGGGAAAATGTTTCGGCGCTACGATTAAAATATCACCTCAAACGGAATTTATGGCTTCTCCAACCCAGTTTCGGCCTTCTCAGCTGCAACTAGCAGCTTACGCAATCCCCGAAGGCTATCACTAGCACCGCTAACCTACGTTTGATATATAACTTCGGTGAAGAAGTTAGTTATCTGGAATAAATCATCGGGAAGCGAAAGCTGCTGTGTGCGCTTGGAGGAGTGTTCTGTGTGGATGCGCAGTTTGTGCTAACTTATCAAACAATAAAAAGCCCACAAATGATGAAGACCCAGGCGGTTTTGACGAGATCTAGCACACACACAATATTATAATAATAATAACAAAAACGGTAAGAATTTTGTTTACAACTTTGAAGCTCTTCTTATTCACCCACAAATAAAAAGCCAAACGTACCTGCGAAGTCGACGCCATGAAGGAAATGAAATTCGCTAAAAACGCAGCTGCCGGAGCTACACAAGAGACGTCAAGTTCGTGGAATATGAAATTGACAAGTCAGTTATTCGTCTGTCACAATGAGTTTAAAGCGCGGAAATAAAATGTAATGAAAGGAAATTAATAATATTTTGCAAAAGAAGTTGACGTGATCGAACGAGAACTGCGACCAACCAATTTCTACCATTTACGATAATGGAAAAAAAATCGGAATGGGGCCAAAAGTTAACAAAAGCCGGTGATAAAGATGGGAATTAATGAAACGAAAAGGTCAAAGTACGAGGATGATCTCCGTATTATTGTATAGAACAATAATGATCAATAGCTTTATTTTAACGCAGTCACGGGAATGAATAAGTCATGCGAATTTGAGCATCTAGAAAGCGATATTCATCGGAGATCATTACAGGAATATAAATTAAGGATTTGTTAAAAATGCCCCAACGAATCTTATTTACTGACGAAGCCAAGCATGAATGTCATGAATTTGTTGAAGTTAATGTCCTCAGGACAAGGGGGTTCAAATTTTGCATTGTCCACTACGATTACTATATTGTTTTTAAATGGGAAACTTTTCTAATACATCGTGATCTGAATCTAAATCCAAAACCTTCATTGAGTACAATCAGAATATCAAAGGTTTGTCCTTTCAATACTAAACGATTTTCACAGATTAAATTTAAAGAACGAAATGGTTGAAATAAGATGACTTAGGTTCTAGTTCTTACTTCCAGGCGGAATAACGTCGTTTCGTGGATGTTTTTTTTATCCCGTGTTAGGGGAAATGAATTCCGTCTTTAGATTCTTTCGCGTCCCGCTCTTAAAATCTCGGGCCTTTCTTAGCTTTCTCTGCACGATGTCTCTTCAGGCTCGTCAGTCCTCGTTTCTTCTTCTCCAATTATCAATCTCCATAAATTCTACACTCTTAGAACCTCATCTATCCACTTTTCTCTTGGTCTTCCTCTGGATCCGGTTGTTTCCGACTGGGGTAGTTTATATTTTTTTGTGACTGATCACGAATTTGTAATTTGATGTGCTGTTAGCACCAACGAGGCACGAGCAACGTACAGAAAAACTTAAACTTGAAGACGTTATTTAACTAAAAATGTATTTATTTAAATTTGAATAAATAAAAACAACGCTGAAAGAAACGAACAACAAAAACAGCAACAGTTTTCCCCAATTACGCTTTTCCAATAATATTTCTACCCCGAATACGCAGCAGGTTTGCAATCAAAACCACTGCCTATACAACCCTCGTTAAAAATAGTAAACCTTTGTTTTTTATATAGGCCAGGTCAGGTTAAACGCAATTTTCTTCCCACAGAATCCCTAACGACATTCGGGCGAAAATGATGAATTCATCCCCACATTCACGAACCGCGCCAACCCTAATAAAAATAAACATTTTCAAAGCACACAGGTTGTACTGAAAATATTTTCAGAAGGGATGGAATGCGTGGTATTAAATTGTTACGGTTCACCTAACGTGTTCTCTCTGCCTCTTGTAAATTACGTCGTCTCGTGTGGGGTTGGCCGGCGATGATCACACCCTTTTTGTGTCGTGAATCAAATAAGAATAAAATTTAGTGGAAGGTTTAATGAGGGGAATTCGCATCATTTCTTTCAATCAATAAAACAATCATCGAAATTCCGCGACGAGATATCGGAACCTTGGCCCGTGGAGATTGAAAGTAATTTGCTACAGTTGGATGGGGGTTTTATCAGATTATTGCAAAGTCTCCGGAATATGTGGAAGTAAGTGTTTGATGAATAGTGTCCTTGGAAGATTGATGGGCTCTCATAACTTCCTTCCGATATTTTCGCTCGGAAAATGGTCGCTCGCACAAAAACTAAAAGGGTAACTGAAAGTGTTGCAAGCATTACGTTTTCCGTTTTAGTAATGTCATAAAATTATAATGTCACCTATTTTAAAAGCTCAGCTAGTTATACCAGAATGTTTCAACAGAGTTCTGATTTTATTTTCCATGCGAGTTTTGAAGGGTTCAAAATGAAAAGTGCTTCAGTGTTCTTATTACACACGCTAATACCGCTTGCTGGAACGAATTTCATAAAGGGCGAAAACTGCATTTCCAGCTTTTGAATCGATTTTTTTTTTGTTTTCGCAGTTGTAACTTGTTTCACCCGGCTTTGTGTTTAATTTCAAGTAAAATAATTTCTAGTTGAGTGCAATTCGCATTTTGCAACCACTTTGAGCGTATTCCGCCAATATTTTATCGATTTTTATTATTTGTTTTATATGAGAGGCAAACACCACCGTACGTATTTTTTGCATTTTTAACACAAGTAAATAAACTGTTCTAGAATTAAATATTGTTACGTTGATCGTAATGTAAAAATCAGCGTGGGTAAACAATTTATTTCGTAATAATTCGATTTTAAACGACTTATTACAGAGTGATTATGTACAACATAATTCCGGCACAAATTGACTGGCTTCTCTCAACATTCTCTGGACTCGACTCGACTGAATGATAATCGTTCCCGACGGTGACCTCCATTAAACCTATACATTCCTCTGGATGGATCGCGAACGTCGCAATCGAGACCGGTCAATTACATGTGAACCAAATTGACATGGTGTAACTGGGCCGTGGAACCTTGTACTTCCACAGGTTCCACTCAAAAATGCAACCAAGTGAAAGCGTATGCATGAAGCAATACTTGTAAAATTTCCTCCTATTGTTTCGTCAAAGAAAAAATATGAATTTATCGGAACCAATTATATTTAATTACACTCAGTGTTAAAACCTTCTAAGTCATTATGGTCGCATGAGGTATGTAATTGTCATTTCTGGCTTTTGGAAATCGACGTCTTAATGTACGAAACGATCGTTTACCCGTAAGTAGTGCTTATTTTATTTGGTCCCGGAAGGACACGCTCCCGGGTATTTGAAAACGTTGAATTGCAACTTTGAAAAAAGTCCACTTATTTGTTTGACTCATCTAATGTTCAGTTTGAAAGGTAGAACTTCAAATAAATTCCAAGAGATATTTTAGCACAGTCTTGTTATCCCGAAACTCGTAATTCCAACGGGAATTTAATTCCTCATTTGTGCAAACACAAATAAATTCTAATTGTCACTATGGAGTAACAGCATTGCCAAAAGCTTAACTTTCCACCAACCTTATTATGTTTACTAGTCCGACGTATTTACGTAATCTGTATGTGCGCTGTTTAATTAGATGATGTTTATTACGTTTATGTGATATTAAGCGTGAACCAACTTGAAACATGAGACTTTCCGTAAATCAGCAGGATAATAACGCTCGCACTATTCTTGTGTAATCCATTATGAACATCACTGCCTCTACGCGGTTTTGAACAGGTAGTTCTGACGTAGACGTAACGGGCGTTGGCACAACTTGTGAAATTTGACACTTGAGTTGAAGTTACGTCCGAAAAAACCGCCGCAGACGTCTATAGACTTGTCAATTAAGTTAGATAACAAGTCCATTGTATCTTGAAGGTATTGAGTGGGCTAAGAAGGTAAATTCTCCGTGGAATCTGTACTTAATGCGAAGTTGTGAGAGATTTCCTATATTTCATTTAGTTCACACAATGGGAAGTCTTACGAACCACACTCGATACATTCTGCTTCACTCCGATGGAATCAACTAACAACAAGCCGCAAGAAATAACTTCCAAAACCGCCTTCAGAGAAAATCCTCCATGCAACGCGAAAGCAGGACAACAAAAGGTACAATAACTAAATTTACCTCAGATAAATTATTCTCTCCCACTGTTACTTCCTCGCTTATAATCTCAATAAACCATGCTGTATCGATCCCGACAGCCACAACACAACTAATCCCGCATTTGGGGGAATCAACGCCGCCACCATGCACCGTCCCACGCAACGGAACCTATTATGTGCTGCAACAATTACCCCAAGTTGACCTGTTCTTAGTTAAGGTTCGCAGACTGGTCGTGACCTGTGGGAGCGATATCATTACCAGGAATGACCGCGAAGAGAGCAAACGTCCTGTCACGTGGCGGTTGTGTGGAGGGCTCTCCCGAAATGCCCCAAACGCGATCGATCCGACGCAATTTCAGGCAAAAAGCGACTTATCTGCATCGGATGCATGCAAAGGGGTTGCCGGGAAATGGAGTTTAAAAGTTACATACACCCGACAAGATCTAATAACGTTCGAAAAAACTCGAAGACGAAAATATAGTTTTCCAATTTTGCTTTAAGTGCACCCGAAGGAGAGGGAACGGCGCTCCTCAATCCAAAATATTCCAACGTTTCGAAGGAAAATAGCGGAACGAGGTTAGGGAAGGTCTTCACGGATCCCGACATGGATGAAATTATTTTTCGAGGTGGCAACGAAGGGCTCGAACTTGCCGGAAACCGAGGATAATATAGCGACTTTGATTTTTCTGCGTGTCGTGCGTATACTAAGAACGTTATTTTTGTATCCAAAAAGACTATAACAATTTTAATTAAGTACATTTAAACCAGAGTTATTAAATCTCACAAAGCAGTGTGGAAGGTTTAGGAAGTTCACGAATCAAAGCACAGTATCGAATAACAAACTAGAAGCAAGTCGCCCCTAATGACATAAAATAACATCTACTAATGGCATAGAGCATCAATTAACGTTGAGTTTGTCCTGACTTTAAATAAACTCTCTCGGTGTCTTTTATTCGAGTGCACTCGTTATTACCCTTAATTCTCGTTACAAACCCTTTCTGACGTTTCTTGCAGGAGTAGATTCTTGAAACCCACTTTCGCCCCGCTAATTAAGTTTCAGACCAATTTAGCAGTTTCCAAGACGCAGATGCTAATGAATTTACATTATTTAAAAGCCAGTAACGGTATCACGCAACCTATGCCGAAGAAAATCGAGAAAATGAAACGATTTGCGTGCTTTTTATTGGTCGCTGCCAACATTCGCCATTACATCGGGCAATTAAGTGTGTTTATGAACGAACATTACCTTGATTTATGTTAACGACATGTTGCATTAAGGTTTTGGTAAGTTTCTGGTAGGAGAGGAAGTAGCACGTGCACTTCCGTTGCGAGGGTCAGGGTTGATTGTGTAAATAAAACAGGGAGGGAAAAGGAACGACTTCGATGATAAATCTCGACTGTTGGAGATTCTTATTAAGGTTCCAAGAGAGCACACAAGCAACCATATTTATTAGAAGCCTGTGAAAGTATGGAAGAATAGGACGAAAGACAATATTAATTCTATTGTACTAAGCAGACTACACAGTCTACGCACTTTGATTAAAACGTATAAAAACGTACTTATTGTGTTCAAGATGTTGGCGCCCTTGGTGAAATAGCACAACTGAAAGTTTATTAATAGTCGTTTAAAACCAATTCCTGAAAGTTCTGCAGGTTCAAGAGAACATAAACATCAATATAATCGCCTATGATATATTTATGATCGTGACAAGAATCCGTGGAACGAATTTTGAATATATATATAAAATTATTTCAGGCCGTTCCTTGTTCCAGTTAATCGTTGAAACGCTGAATAAAACTAATATTTACGACTGTAGTGTCATACGTAAACAAAGTACCGTTATAATTCTAGGGTGTATAAAACTTTCTCAGTACTTTTCATGTAACCTAGGGTGATATTATTCTGATATGTTCTCTTTGAACTAAAAAACCCAAAATCCAAAATAAGCTAATTTACATTTTTTCACGTGTTCATTGACGTAAATTTCCCACGTCATTTTGCCATCAAGGTGTACACCTAACAACTTCATGGGTTCAAAATGAGAATTTAATTCGCTCAATGAAAAGTAAATTAGTTGTTTTCATTTATGGCTACAAAAACCAGTTTTTAACGTACTCGTATGTTCCGTTTCACTAAAATTAAAACTACTCATTGGGTAAGTCGTATCATTAGCAAAATATATAATATATAAAGGTGTTTTTATTACAATTAGGTGTATCACTGATATAAACTAAGAAGAGCACTGGTGCAAGAATAGCTCCTTGAGGAATCACATGCGTAACGCATCGCTTAAGTGAGCAATAATTTTTTTGTATTAATAAAGTAACACTATTTTCACCAAATCCGTATTTATAGGTTGGTTGTTTGAACAAAAAACTCACAAGGTCAGACGCTTTAATTAAGTGCAAACAGTGAATATTTTTACTAGCAAACACATTAACTGTAAGTTCGACAAGGCAGAGAATTTATGGCGTTAGCCATACTTCTAAATCCACACCAAATTAAAGTTTTAGTTTAAAGCATCAAAAATTATCCATAGTAAGCTTTACTAATGGATGTACGGTTAAGTTTTTAAGGATTTTACTGCTTTCGTATTAGTAGCGTATTACCTTGTAAGGCTTCAAGGAATCGAAAAGTCCAAACCGCAGTGTCGATTCTTGCACCGTTCTGGACTTATGACCCGTTAAATTTGAAATATCCATTTTTAATTCAAGAATAGTACCCCACCATACTAAACGGGTCGTGTATTTGATTTACAAATTAGCTAGTAAGAGGTCTAGAGACTGTACCGTCATAATCGCCACCGTTTTTTTTTTTATTCCCGCCGCCTCCCCAGAATCCGAAGCAGCCCCGCCCAGTGAGGAGCCGCCGCCAGAGGGAGCACAGGACAACCTTAGACGAGTTTCCAGTTTTTTTTGTTTGCCGAAAGTCTATTTTAATCCGCTCGTTTTCTTATCTAGACAGCCTACCAGGAAATAAAAATAGAAAAACAGACAGACAGACAAACGGAAAAAGATGTAGACTGTTTCGGGGTCCACTGGGAAATTTCCCGTTGAAGCTATGAAATAGAGAAAACATAGAATTAAGCATTCCTTAAAATATTTATACCATCCAGGAAAATTTTAATTCAGAATATAAAATTTAATCATAAAAAACAACTCTCAATTTTAATCATCAGCGAACGCCTACACCGTGACATATTCGAATGATTTGGCCGTAAATCGTTGCTACTCTTGCACGAAAGCTACACATATTTCACACTCATCAGATAAACCCACGTCATGGACAATTGACATATTTTTTGGCATTCTCGTAAAAACATTGTTCAAACACGCCCCATCCCTAGTGAGATTAAAATTTCTTTGTGTGGCACGACCATTACTTACTTCGCATAAATAATAATTACAGATTACAAAGAAACCGCCATCTGACATTAACAATTAGAGAAGTGAGAAGTCTCCAAAGACACGATCGACTAAAAAATCGATGCACGCCCGCATCCTGATTGTGCCCCAACTGAATTCCACTGAAAGACAACACAGGGGAGAACAGGCTCATCTGAAAGAAGGAAAATCACCAACCCGACAAATTTGTGATTAAGAGACACCGTTGAGACCTTTTGGGGCTTACTAATTAGCAAGAAAACAAAGTAAAATTCGCTGGCGCAGTAATCGATAACGGGGTTAATAGTAGAATTTTCCTAACTAGAAAAATGAATTTATGTGAAAGTCGCTAATTGGCAATAACTCAAAATGGCCAATTTCAACGTGAGCTCGGGCCCTTCAATAAATTCCGCGTCGACTTTATGGTCGTGAAAATATTTCAAATTGACCATAAAATCAGCAGTGTCCTTGTTAAATTGATCAATTTAATAAAGGAGGAATTCTGCTTTCCAAGTTGTATCCTTTAAATTGGGTGCAATTGAAATTAAATGGTGACGAGGAATGAAAAGGGGATTAGAAAAGACGTGAATAACGGTATCGTTAGGAATAGGAATGAGACTAAAGCTTCCTCTTATTTGACGCTAAAAAATCCTCGGTGGTTTTTAGCTGAATGCATCTGGTATTACAGTTCGTTTATATCCACTCAAACCGGGCTTTTCAACGTTTCCTATTCGGCTGCACTCTAAACAGGACTTTGACGGTGGCTCGACATAATTAGGTTTCTGATGAGCATATGTGCATAATGCCCCCGGCAATTTGCCTCATGTGCCGTCATCTAAAGCTCATTCAACTCGGCAACAGATACACCGTTCAGCCACAATATATCATCAATATCGAAACTCAATAGATGAAAAGATGGGGCAAAGCGAAACCCTGTCTTGTTATGCGCAGATGGGAATCTCGACTTTGTGCACCTACCTTTACACGGATCCTGAGGGGTGAATGGTAATCCACTTGAATTTCAATTTCTTGTACAAACAGACTCGATTTTAGGCCGACGTGGACGTACTCTTTTGTGAAGAACCGGTCAAATTTCATTGGCTATTTCCGAACAAAGCTCCAAAAACAGAAAAGGTGAGTGCACAAGCTTGCAATTTGCTATCTAAACATTCATTAGTCGGAGTCACCGAGACTGCGTTCAATTTACGAAACTTGGACGGTTTCGGCGAAAACTGTAAATACCCCTCAAATACGAAGCTTTAGTTTGATGTAAAGTATGTAATTTAAACCGTGTAAGAAAGTACAGTGGAATGAATGTGTGACGAAAAGCGCCTACGGGGAGACGTCTTTTGTTTCCTTCGTAACCAACTCCCTCGTCATTCCATTAAACCCGGGCGCCATTTAAGGAATCCAAACAAAGGGATAACCGCAGAATTAATAACGTTGCTATGCTTGAAGTTTTCTAAATATCAATGTGTGGATCATTCTACTGCGATAAAAGTGACAATAGTTTAATTTTTCATTGACTACCTACAACAAGAACATGACTTGGACGAAACTAAATTAAAAACGTGGGCCTCCCTTGCCATAGTATGAAGGCTATCCCTCGAGAGCCTTAAGAGCTAGTCCTATTATTTGCGCTCGCAAGGCAGTGGACCAATAAAAAAATTCAATTCACATTGGCCGCATCAGACGCCTTATTATTTCATATCCAGCTCGGCTAACGCAGCTTCGCAATTTTTAAAATTCTATAGTAGATATGACAACTTCGAGTAACAATTGTATACTGACACTTCCTGGAGGAATCGGACACCTACTCAATCTATCTATGTAGAGCAAAATGTTTTCGGTCATATGATAATTCTTAGTGCAAAAAGGGAAATATAAAAGAAAATGATCGCTTACGTGTGGCACTAATCCTGAATTATTTCTCTTCGAGTATCATAAACCCCTATCCAATTTATCTCTATATTAATTTATAAGGCAATTGCGATGTTGATGCTTGTGGCACCCTCGAGCCAATTTCGGTCTCATGTGAACAGCGTCGCACAAGGCAGCCATTTAGCTTAACAACAATATCGCAACATAAATACAGCCAACTCCCAACGATTAAAAAATAAATTTCTCTTCGTGTGGCGACAACACAGTTCAACCAGACGAATGCAACAAATTAATCCAATAAACGAGCCCCAACAAGTAAAAATCAAATTAAAAGTCTAAAAATAATTGACTGGATTGCATGACACCGGTCGCTTTTTCGTAATTATTTCAATGAAAACACATCAAAAATAAACCAGAAATTAATAACAGT